TAATCCATCCAGATGTGGCTCCCACAGCACCACGGCAGCATTCCGAGGCTTTCGTGCTGCAAAGTTCAAGCGTCGATCACAGAAATGTCTCCTTTGCTGGCTTTCACACAGGTAAAAAGAGAGTCAAGTTAGTGCAAGTTACTCTCATTTCTTTTAAAAAAAGAAGCGGTCAGAAATTCAGGTAACATTTAGAAGGAACAGGTCATGATAGCAAAAATGGAAGTGAGCAAGGACAAGACAGGTTGTTTGCAGGCACAAGCTGAAGTTCTTATACTATTTCAAACAGCCAAGCACATCCTGACACTGGACTTCTAGCCTTTTTTAATTGAGAAGAAGCATGTTTAGTTATTTATTATATTTACATCCTGCCTTTTTCTATGGGGAACCCGGAGCAGCTCTTTCCCTCTCCACCCTGCCCTTTAAAGAAGCATTATCCTGTAGAATCTTATTGGTTTTTTTTTTAATATGATGGTTAATATTCCTTAGATAGCTAAAAAAGAAATGTTTGCGATGACCTAGAATTAGTGTTCAGAATTTTTAAACAGCTTCGACAAAATAAATTAATCCCACAAAATATTAGAGATAATCGCTCAGAATGGGACTAATACATTAAATCACTCATCAAATACCATCAAGGATCTTGGAACAGAGGAAAATCTTCAAGTGACACCAACAGAATATCTGTTTTGGTGCCCAGTGGGCCTTAATGGAGAAAGCATTCCACACTCAGGGGCCACTACAAGAAACCCTTCTCCCTTGTTGTTGTTGTTGTTGTTAGTCGAGAAGTCATCTCCGACCCATCGTGACCCCATGGACAACACTCCTCCAGGCCCTCCTGTCCTCCACCATCTCCGGAGTCCACTCAAGCTCACACCGACTGCTTCAGTGTCTCCATCCAGCCACCCCATCCTCTGCCGTCCCCTTCTTCTTTTGCCATCAATCATTCCCAGCATCAGGCTCTTCTCCAGTGCATCCGTCCTTCTCATTAGGTGGCCAAAGTATTTGAGCTTCATCTTCAGGATCTGGCCTTCTAAAGAGCAGTCAGGGTTGATCTCCTCTAGGACTGACTGGTTTGATCGCCTTGCAGTCTAAGGGACTCGCAGGAGTCTCCTCCAGCACCACAATTCAAAGGCCTCAATCCTTCAGCGCTCAGCCTTCCTTATGGTCCAACTTTCACAGCCATACATATTTATTGTTGTATGCCGCCCCATTCGCTGAAGCCTCGGGGCGGCTTACAACAATAAATATGTATGGCTGTGAAAGTTGGACCATAAGGAAGG